CTACTCAATAGTGGAACTACTACAATGCTGCTGGTTTAGGGTTTCTACAGCTTCTAACTTGTCCCAGGAACTCCTCACTCTTTTGCCGTTATCTTTGCTGCCATTCACGGAGCCATGTGACTCCTAGAAAGCCTCTGTGGTTGTACAAGCCTCCTTCCAGGGAGTCAAATTTGTGTTTATATGTAGCCTCTTTCCTTTGTTTTTCAAGTCTCTCCTTCCATCCACGTATAGTCACTTTCAAAGACCAAGTCAAGGGTTCTATAAACTCACCATGAATCACCAGTTTTCAACCATCTATCATCGACATAATGTCAACAGGGCAACAAGTACCCTATACTTATATTTCCCCCCAACTTTGGTCAAAAACCTTCAGTGGCTCCCTATTGGATCTAGGTTAAAACATAAATTCCTCAGTCTGTCATTTAAGGATCTCCACAATCTGGATCCAACTTCCTTTTTCAGCTTTATTTCATACTTTCAGCCCCTTCACACACTCTATGTTCCAACAGAACTAGAGTACTATATGTTCCCTAAACTCAATGTCTTTTATTTTTTCCTTCTATGACCCTTGAAGACAATAGGGTTCTAATGGCACATATGTTTCTTCTTCCCCTATGAGGTTATAAACACTTCATGATCATATGGTTTCTTCCAATTGCTCAAGTATTACTTTTCATGTTTTTCATAATTCTTATGTTTGCATTTCATTGTATCTGTTGTTCAATCATTTCAGTCATATTCAACTCTTCATGACCCCATTTGGGGTTTTCTTGGCAAAGATTTTGGAGTGGTTTGCCATTCCTACTCCAGCTCATTTTACAGATGAGGAAACTGAAGTAAACAGGTTTAAGTGACTTGCCCAAGGCCACACACTAGTAAGTGAGGCTAGATTTGAGTTCAGGTCTTCCTGATCAGCATTCTATCCACTGTACCAATTAGTTGCCCTCTCATAGTATCTACTCAGCTCTTGTCTTTTTTTTATTTTTTTTAAATCAGAAATGCCTGGAGGGCTTCAAGTTTATTAAAGGCTGATATTTTCTTCTGTAGATTATACTCAGTCTTCCTGAGTAAATTGTTCTTAGTTGTAAGCCTCTATCTTTCGCCATCTAGAATGATGTATTCTGAGCTCTCTAAGTCATGCTGACTATGGTTTCTGAGTACTTGAATTTTTTTTTTCTGGCTGTTTTTACTGTCTTTTGTTTGAATAAGAAGTTCTGGATTTTTTACCATGTCAGCCTGAGAGTTTTTTGTGGGAGTTTCTTTCAGGAGATGACTACTAGATTTTTTGCATTTTTCCATTGCCTTCTGGTTCCAATAAATCTGGGCACTTGTCATTCATGATTTCCTGACATATGGTATCTAGCTTTTTTATAGTTATGATTTTCAGGTGAAAATGATTCTTAGATTATCCTACCTATTTTCCAGGTCACTTGCTTTTGAGAGAAGATAGCTATATTTTCTTCTTCCAAATAAGATTTTTGTAAAGCACTTAGCTCAGTGTTTGGCCTATTGTAGGTAATTAATACATGTTTATTTCCCTCCCTTCTCCCTTCCTTCCTTCCTTCCTTCCTCCCTCCCTCCCTCCCTTCCTTCCTCCCTCCGTTCCTTCCTCCTTTCCTTCCATATTTACAGTTTTAAAATTTTGTTATAGCATTTTTTGGTTCATTAATTCAAGGTTTCTGTCTAGTTGGTCTAATTTTCAAGGAGTTTGTTACTTTACTAATGTTTTGCACCTTCTCTACTACTTTGCTCATTATCTTTAAAATCCTTTTCTCTCGAGTTCTTACTTTCCTTCCCATTATTTCCTGCAGCACTCTCATTTCCTTTCCTATTCTCCACTGAGCTCTCATTTTACTTATTTTATCATTAAAAAAAAAAAAAACTCTTGCTTTGTTTCTTCCTGTTCTAGTAGAGCTTATGGTGAATCTGTGTTTCTGTTTCAAGCTAGTAGAACTTATGGCAAATTTGTGTTCTTTTCTCAGGCTTTCCTTTCCATTGTGGAATTATTTTCTTTTTCTGGGTTTACATCTTGGGCATTTCTAGTTTCAAAATATTTCTTAATCATCAGTAAAATAAACATCAGTAAAAGAAATAAAATCACGGGGCAGCTAGGTGGCACAGTGGATAGAGCTCCGGCCTTGGAGTCAGGAGGACCTGAGTTCAAATCTGGCCTCAGATACTTAACAGTTACTAGCTGTGTGACTCTGGGCAAGTCACTTAACCCCAATGGCCTCATCAAAAGAAAAAAGAAATAAAATCACTTTTATTTATTCATTTTTCCAGCTCTGCTTGCTGAATTTGGCTTCTGTGTGTTGTATGGGTCACGGCTGCTACTTCCTCCAGATACTGTATACTGTGTTTTTTTGAGGACATCAGGGTTAATGCCAGTCTGATCCAGGGTGCAGCCTGGTCATGACCCTTGCTGTCTGAGCTCCCCAACAGGCTCCTGAGTCCTGTAGGATCCTGACTGACCTCTTGTTTGGGCTCAGAGCAATGTAGCTGTGGGTTTCATGTGTTCTTGGCTAGTCTCTGATTTGAATTTCCATACTGGGTATACATGTGCAAGCTCCAGGGTTCCCCCCCTGGTCTGCATGCTATAGATCTTTTGTGAATCATGCTTATGAGTTGAGTTTTTCTGATTGATACTATTCCATAGTGTTACCAGCTTCTAGCTGTCTCTTTGTGTGGACTTATTGTAGTTTCTCCTTAGATTTCTTTATCATTATTTGATCTGCTTTTTTTCCCCCAACTTTGCTAGAGTGCCTGTGAGAGAGTTATGCTTATCTGATCCCATTCATTCTGGCATCTTTATGATAGTCTCTCCTGGAGACTAGGTAGATGGATAGAAAGAAAGGAAGAAAGAAAGAAAGAATATTTCTAAAGCACTTACTATATGTCAGTTGAGGTGTGTTTGGTGTCCAGGAAGGACTAGCACCTCTGGTGTGAGGGCTTACTGAGCCATTTTTAGGGCTGCTCATTCACCTTTCACCCAATTCTCATCTGTGGCTCCAAAAAGCTGTAGCGTGCACAGTGGGCACACCAGGATAAAACCATCTTGGTAGATGGACTAAACCAGGTTGAAGGTAACTGACATACAAGCAAACAAGACAATTCCTGATCTCAAGGAGTTTATATTTTAGTAGGGAGAAAGAATACACAAAAGGGAGCTGGGAGTTGGGAGAGGGTGGTGCTTCATGGTTTGGATTGTAGATAACATGGTTTGGAGCTAGTGGTTAGGAAGTGAGGTGGAAGCTTGGTTCTGGGCAAGATAAGAGGAAAGCTTACCCATCAGAGCTTAGGGTGATTTCAGGAGCAAAGTCTGTGGTTCTGGTGGTGAGAAGGTGAGGATAACGGCCAGAGAGGAGGTGGCTTGCTTTGGAGGTCGTGGCCTACAAGTGACTATATCAAGCTAGAAGAACCATACAGGATCCTGAAGACCTCAAGGTACCACCATCTTCCAGGCATGCTACCCAGAATTAATACTCCTTCCAGTGTACCCAATCAATTAGAGTGTTTCATTTTTTTTTTTTCATTCTTGAAACCATCCTCTACGCAGTTGCCAAACTGGTATTCCTAAACACAGATCTCACCATGTCACTTAAATATACTCCATGGTTACTTATTGCTTATAGCATAAAATATAAAATCCTCCAACTGATATTTAAAGTTTTTCAGGCTGTAGTTCTCACCTATCTCTCTAGTTTTATTCCATATTATTCTCCTTTGCATACTCTCTATTCCAAGACAACTGATCTGTTATTAGTTTCTATACAGGACATTTCATCTCCCCACATTTGTACCTTCGCACAAGTGGTACCTCATGCCTGGAATATACTTCCTCTTTACCTCTACCTCCTATAATACATATTATTTATGTATTATATATATGTATATACACATATATGCATATACATACATATATAAATATATAAGCTATAATACATAGCTTCTTTACAATCACAGTTCAGATGCCACAGGGTACTCATGCTCTCATGAAATTACTTTGTATTACTTTCAAAAATAGTTTGCATGTAACCCTAGTCCCAAAGCCCACTGGCATAGGACTCTTTCCTTATTGGTGGAGTTCAATGCCCTGTCTTGTGTGAGGGGCAAGGCAGAACTGATGAGGACAAGAGCTCTTAAGTTTTTCTTCCAGTTGTCTTCAAGCTTTGGGCTGCTTCCAACCTTGCAGTCTCTAGGACACTTTTGGCTTCCAGCTTTGAGAGAGAAGATGCTAACTCTACTTCAGGTTGCTGAAGAAAAAAGAATCTGGGAAGAAGCCCCATGAGTGGAGCTGGCAGTCTCCATTACGTCTCACCCCCAGCTTGCTACACTAGATACTCTGGGGAATTTCCTCTTGAGTTAGATATTGGACTTTCTCTGTTGGCTGAGCTGAGTTAACTGTTTCCGATGGTAGATTTTCACTTTGCATTGTCTGCTATATTTCCTCCTATGTATACCTTCTCTGATTTCTGTTATGCTGCCAATTTGGATAGATGGATTTTCTTGGCATTGGAATAAATGGGTCAAGTCTTGGATCTAGAGCTTGAGGGTCCTTCCTTCCTCCCCAATACTGAAACAGCCATCAGAAGTTAGCTTCAAACTGATTGCCTGTATCAGGACTAACAATATCTACGTGGACAGAGACGTGAGGTAGACCGTACCACCTTTCTCTGAGGAGAGGAGGCTGGTGGCTTCTGCCCTCAGTTTACTGCTTCCTCTCCTTGCAGGAATTACAGTCTTCCTCGGAGAGAAGTTATTTTTTCCACGGTCACTTGGGGCATAAGTGGCAGAGAGACGACCCCCACTCGTACCCGCCAATTCCTAGTGATTTTCCAGGGCTTAAACCCAGCGACAACTTCTCGCCCTTCTACATAAAAACACTGGGAATCCTGTCTCTATGATCCTTTCAATGAGAACGGTTCTAATCTCAACGGGACCTTCTTTCCGCTAGAGGGAAACTCTATGGTTTCGGAGAATGCAATCCGCCGGACTCCCCCCCCAGGAAGTGACGTGAGGGGGAGGAGTTAGGCGGCAAGATGGCTGTGCGGGCTGCGCTCGGGCTTGTGTGTCGGGGCGTCTGGCAGGTGACCGAGGAGGGAAACTGGGGACTGGGCGGCCGGGCGGCGGCTTCCTGGGGCGACCGTCGTGGTTCGGGGTGCTAAATCCCTGGACTTTCGGCCTCCGCCTTCGGGGCGGATTGGTGGCCGGGGACGCGGTTTGGTCTCCCGGCTCCTTTGGTCCCGGAGACGGCGCTGGAGGATCTCGGGTTGCCCCCGGGCTTCCAGCAGCGCGGCCTTTCGGTCTGTGAAATGGGCATAAGCATCCCGTCACTGCAGTTTTCCGAGGACTCAGCGATCCATCTCATAGAAAGGCAGAGCTGGAAGGAAGTTTAGAATCTAGAACGTTAGAACACTTGAGAGCTTGAAAGAGTCTAGAATGTCAATTAAGAGAGTCTTCAGAACATAGAATGTTTACCTGGAAGGGACTCCGAACCTAGAATGTGAGAACATAGTTCTTTACGACATTTAGTTTGGAACACGCAGCTTTAGAACATAGAGCCGGAGGGAACGCAGCCTAGTTCAGTCAATCAGCAGACATTTTTTAAGCTTTTCCTATGTGCCAGGCACTGTGCTAAGGCTCTCATCACCTCTTGGATTCTTTTCTTTTTTTTTTTTTTTTTTTTTTTTGGCTAGGCAGTGGGGTTAAGTGACTTGCTCGGGGCCAAGTAGCTAGCAAGTGTTACGTGTCTGAGCTCAGGACCTCCTGACTCCAGGGCCCTGCTTTATCCACTGCACCACCTAACTGCCCCCGCCCCCTAATTCTTGCAGTAGCCTACTGGTGGATCTGCCTACCTTAATTCCAAAAAGAAGTTACATCTTAATAGGAGAAACAACAAATGTACCAACAAGTTAGATGTAGGATAAAGAGGAAATTATGAAGAGAGCTTAAGGCACAAGAATGATGAGGGCTTGGGAAAGGCTCACTGTAAAAGATGGGACTTTAATTAGGACTTAAAGGAAATTAGGGAAGGCAGGAGGCGGAGTGGAGGAGGGGAAGCATTGCAGGCATGAGGGACAGTCTGAGAAAATACTGAACTGAGAGATGTTATTGCTTCTTGTTCCATGAACGAGGCCTGTGTCTCTTGATGTAAGAAGACTAGTAAGATGGGAGGGGGCTAGGTTATGAAAAGTTTTGGATGTCATATGGAACATTTTGTATTTGGTCTTGGAGGCAATGGGTAGCAACTGGAGGCAATGGGTAGCAACTGGAGCCTATTGAACTTGGATATGGGTGACAGAATGTCACCCTAGAATGTGAAAACAGTATGGTAGAATATCAGAGCCTAAGGTTTTTTTAAGATTTAGTTTAGGGCACAATTAGTTTTCAAATATAGAATGTTAAAGCTGAAAGGAGCTCTGAGTCTAGACAGTCTTTAGAGCATTTCATTTAGAACACAGACAGCTTTAGAATATCCAGTGTTAAAGATGGAAGGAATTCAGAGTTTACAGTGCCAGAATCCAGCTTTGGCCTTTAGAAGATAGACAGTAAGAACTAGAAAGGGCCTTGGAACCAAGAATGTTAGAACATGATGTAGAATATCAAAGGAAGAAGGAACTTTAGAACATAGATGGTTAGAACACCGAACATAGTTATATCTGGGAGGTGCTCAGCTTAGAATGTGAAAACACAGAACATTGAATATCAAAGCTGGGAGGGACTTCAGAATATAGACTTAGAAAACAAATATCAGAACCAGTTGGGAGCACAGAAGCCATCTAGTACCATCACTACATTTTATAGATGAGGAAGGGAGAGGGAGTTGATAAACACAATTAGTAAATGTCGGCATTGACAAGAACTTGGCCTTCTCCAGCCCAGTGTTCTTTACCCTGCATCAGAAAGCATTTTGTAAGCTGTAAAGCCCTCTATGAATGGGTTGTGATAATTATTATGGTTAAGTGAAGGGCAAATGGGGGGAGGAATAAGCATTTATAATGCTTATAAAGGAATAAGCCTGTGGTGTGCCAGGCACTGTGCTAAGCACTTTAGAAATATCTTGTTTAATCCTAACAATAATAGGTACTGTTATTATCTCCGTTTTACAGTTGAGGTAACTGAGGCAAACAGGTTACTTGACTTGCCCAGGGTCACATAGTTAATGTGTCTCAGGCTAAATTTGAACTTGTGCCTTCCTAACTCCAGACCCAGTTCTTTATCCACTGTGCTGCTGGTAAGTGAGTCTATAACCCCCTCTAGCCATGCTTATTTCAGTCATCCTGTGTGACTGTTGTCTATGTCCTCCTGTAGAACATCCATCCACCCCTTGGGCTGCAGGCTTTTCTCAATCCAAAAGCTCCTTTAAGAAAGACATGTTGGGTGCTGAGGATACCAAAGCAGACATGAAATGGGCGTTGTCTTTGAGCCAGCACTTAACTGGGGTAAATACAACATGGACTCAAGGCTTTTTATGTGTTGTGAGAACCAGTTTTTTCCTCTGTTGATGCTAGCTTTCATTACGTGACTGATCACCTCCTTTTCTGAAAGTGCATTATAATATCAATTCAATACATAACATTAATAACAGTTGTTTGTAATGTGTGGTGTATTGGAAAAAAAGCAATGGGTTTGGAGTCAGAAGATGTGGATTCCAACTCTGGCTTTGCACTGTACTAATTAGCTGGATAATTTTGGGTAAGTCATTTTGCCTTCCTGGGCCTCAGATTCCTCATGTGTGAAATTGAGGGGGTTGAACCAGATAGTCTCTAAGGTCCTTTCCAGCTCTAAATCAATTATCCTGTGAAGCCTTTGGTACTTTTGATCACTCTTTTCTTCTTGACACTTTATTCTCTAGGTTTTTAAGACACTATTCTCCTGGTTCTACTTCTACCTGTCAAACCGCTACTTGGTCTCCTTTGCTGAATCCTCGTCCAGGTCACATGCATTAACCTTACATGTCCCACAGGGCTCTGTTCTGGGCCTTTCCCTCCTTTTCTGCTTCTTCACTTGGTGATCTTATTAGCTCCCATAGATTTCATTACCATCTTTATGCTGATGCTTCTCAGATCTACCTATCTTGTCCTTACCTCTCTGCCGACCTCAAGTTCATATCTCCAACTGTCTTTCAGATATCTTTAAGTGGATATCCACTATGTATCTTAAACCAAACATATCTAAAACTGAACTTCTCTTTCACCCTAACTCCTCCTTCCCACGGAGAGCAACACCATCTTCCCATTCCCTCAGGCTCACAACCTTGTATCATCCTTGACTCCCCACAGTCTCTCACTCCCCATATCCCATTGCCAAGTTCTATCAATTTCTCCTTTCTGTCTTTCAAATATACTTCCTTCTCTCCTCTGACACTGTTACCGCTCTAGTGTAGGCTCTCATCACCTCTTGGATTATTGCAATAGCCTGCTGGTGGATCTGCTTACCTTAAGTCATTCCCCACTCCAATCCAACCTCCATTCAGCCACAAAAGTGATTTTCCTAAAATGCAGGTCCAACCATGTCACTTCCCCCCCAAAAAACAAACAAACAAACTGCATTGGCTCCCTTTTGTCTCTAAGATCAAATACAAATCCTCAACTTGGCATTCAAAGCCCTTCATAACCTAACATACCTCCCTCCTATTCCCCCCTCCCTCCAGTTTTCCAGTCTTCTGATACTTTATTCCCTGCCATATACTCTCAGATCCAGTGACACTGGCCTCCTGGCTTTCCGTGAACAAGAAAGACACTCCCATCTCTCAGCTCTAGGCATTCTTTCTGGCTGATCTCCATGGCTGGAATGCTCTCCCTCCTCATCTCTGCCTTCAGATTCCCTCCAATCCCAACTAAAATCCTGTCTTATTATGATAATCCTCTCCCAACCCCTCTTAATTCTAGTTCTTTCCTTTTAAAATTATTTCCTATTTTTCTTGTGTATAGCTTGTTTGTACCTATTTGCTTGTGTCCTCCATTAGACTGCGAGCTTCTTGAGGGTAAAGACTCTTTTGCATCTTTTTGTATCCCCTGTGCTTAGCACCGTGCCTGGCACAAAGAAGATGCATGATAAATGTTTTTTGTCTGATGGACTAATACACTTTAGTATTCACAAGATCCATTACTTCCATCAGCTTAGATTGAAACCTCTTCACTTTTAGTCACCTTTCACTTTCTTCACTTCACTTGTTTTACAAGTTTTGGTCCAAAAAGTTCCTTTCCAAGTGGCCTATTCTTTGGCAGTGAGGTTCCCCACACTTAGAGGCAAGACTACAGTCCATCATTCTGGACTTGATTGAAGCCAGGGCTTATACTAGCCCAGTATAGCTATTGGGAGTCCAAGGTAATCTCCATGCTGGCATGAGGCCTCAGAGTTGACTTCAGTGGAGCATATGTAAATCTAATTAATTATAACTCAAAATTATGTAATACTTTATGGTCTATACAGTGATATCCTTCCAACACCCATGTGAGAAAAGAGACTCAAGGTAAACATGACAGCTGACTTCATGTATTTAAAGAATTCTTATGTGAAAGAGAGATTACAAGGGTGATGAGAAAAAGAAGGGAGACAGCTTATACTGTATAGGATGACTGAGAATGAAGAGTAGACTTCCCTTGAGGGAACAGAGAAAGAGCAAGACTTTAAGATGTATTTAAGACAGGATGAATTTGATGAGGAGACGTCAAGCATTGGCTGGATGATTACTTGTTTGGGGGTGGCTGGGTGTTAGAAGAGGGTTAGACTAGATGATGTCTGAGAGCCCTTCCATTTATGTTATTCTGTAATGAGAAAATATTTTGTAATGAGGAGGGAGGCTGGATGGCTGCTTTTTAAGGGATGCTATAAAGGGAATCTATTTATCAAATGGGAATTAAGTTAGATTATGTGGCTCTGGGGTCCATTTCAGTTCTATGATTCAATGAGATTATTCTTAGGTCCTGAACTACTTTTCAGTTTGTTTTTTTTTTCTTAATGCTAAAATAATCTAGTATCTTTACTCCAGTGACTGGTTAAAATAAAAAGTTTCCTGAATCTCTCCTAAGTTTCTCTTCCCCTTCTCCACCTAAAAAAAGAAATATATTCAAGACAGTCAAACTGTATTCAAAGGAAGCGTATTTTCACACATAGCCCTTTCTTCCCATTGGCCCTGCTGTCAGTTTCTAATCTGGCAATTTTCTCATAATAGAAACTTAACAAATGTTTGTTGATTGAGCCAAGAAATTTCTGTGCTTTAACAGAAATTCACAATTTCTTTTAGAAACTTTCTCTTTTTCTTTCTATATTGTTTGTTGATGATTAAGTTCACAAATACTTAAAGATATATGTATATATATAAGCTCTTCATAATGGAATTACTTTATTAAACACTTTAGAATTCTCATTTCAAATCTATAAATTTGAGAATTTGTGACTTTAATATTGCTGAATTACAGCAGTGTTCAGACATATTATTTAAATATAATTCAACTTGAAGAAACAGGGAAGCTTACACTGTTCAGTCAGTGTCATTTAGTATCAGCAAATCAAAAAGTATTAGTGCTGAGCATACTGTCTTCCCTTAAGGAGTAGGTACAATATGTACATAAAGAAGCCTATGTAAATCTATATAAAAAATACAAGGCAGATTTTTTTGGGGATTGGGGGAGAACCCTAGCAGCTGGGTGGATATGGAGAAGCTTCATGTGGAAAGTGTGACTTGAGCAGAGATTTGAAGGAAATGAAGCAATCTAAGAGGGAAAAGTGAGGCAGAAGTCCATTTTTGGAGTGGGGACCAAGGACAGCCCATGCAAAGGCATGGAAATGAAGGATTGAATGTGTACTGGGAACAAGCCAGTGTGGCTGGAACAGAGAGTGGTCTGGAGAGTAGTATTTAATAATAAGGTGGGATAATAATATGGCTGGGGTCAGGTTTTAAAGAGATGAATCCTAATATCTTTTCATTGTTACCATGGGTAAATATACTTGCTACTTATTCTTTTGAATATGAGAATTGCTATCTTCAGAATTTTTATTCCAAAGACACCTTTTATTTTTTAGGGATGATATAGATTCTAGATACAAGTCCTGTCTGTGACATACACTGACCTTGTAACATAGGGCAAGTCAGTGGCCCCCTGCAACTCCTTGAAAGTATAAATTGTAGACCAGTTGTTAATCTGCACTGGTAGAAGGTGTTTACTCCCTGGTAGTTCCAGACAGTGATGGAGATGAAATCATAGGTCTAAACAAATGTGTATGTGTGTGTATATGTATGTATACATTTATATGTATGTGTGTATATATATACACACACATACACATGTATAATATATGTACATACATATAGATATAGAGAGAGAGAGAGAAAGAGAGAGATTCTATAAATATTTTTAATGATTTTTGGCTCAACCATTTCCCTTGTTTTCAAGGAGATCTTTGTTGGCATCTTCTTGAAGCTCTTACATGCTATTAGGCATATATATATATATATATATATATATATGTATATTTAAATTTTTCCCCCTCCTTGGCCTTTCTGTAAAAAGTAGGAGGGAAAAGAGTTGGGGGTTAAGGGGCTAAAGAATTGCAGTTTTGGGCTTTTTGAGAATGACTACTGTGAAGAAATATTTGTGTTTATGCATGTCTTATTTTACAGCAGCTGTGGGAAAGTCTTACTTATAAGGATATTTTTATTAAATTAATTTATTTTAGTTTTCAACATTCACTTCCATAAGCTTTTGAGTTTTAAATTTGCTCTTCTTCCCTCTCACCTCCCTCCCCAAGATGGCATGCAATCTGATGTAGGCTCTATATATACATTCCTGTTAAACATTTTCACATTAGTCATGTTTTAAAGAAGAATTAGAATCAATAGGAGGAACCACAAGAAAGAAGAAACAAAACAAACCAGAAGAAAAAAAAGAACAAATACTATGCTTTGATCTGCATTCAGACTCCATACTTCTTTCTCTGGATGTGGATAGCATTTTTATAAGGATATTTTTAAAAGTAGCCTTTATTACTTTAAAATTTTTTTATCTGAAACTAGTATCTTTTTAATTTTTTTTAGAGTCCAGGGATCTTTGCTCTAAGCCATCTGAAGAACATTACAGCAAAGAGGGATGGTTTTCTTCTGTAAGTATAACAATGGGTAATTCTGATTTAGACAGCAGAGCAGCCATTTGGATGTATTACTCAGTCTTATTGATTTTTGTGTCTTTCATATTTAGTGAAACTTACTTGAAGTGGGTGCAGTTTTCAAACTTGCATATGGATGTCAGGAGTGGTATGGAGAAACCTAAGGTATGTATTCCACATTTGCACTATTTATTTTAATGTTAATTCTAGAAAGAGGACAGCAAAATATATTTATCTCACATTTCACTTGAGGTCATTTGCCCAATTGTGTAGTCAGCTCTTTAGAGGTAAGAAAATTTTAGGGTAATGGTAAACCCGCAGTGACAGGGAATAAAGTACACTATGATATGCACTGATGTGTTGTGTATTCATTCAGTCATTCTGGGCAGAAGGGTGCCATTTAAGTGCCTTGGAAGAAGTAACTTAATTGAATAGCTCACACTTACATAAGGCAGTCCTTTAAATCAGAACAGTGTTATCAGTGCCATTTGAGAGATGAAGAGACCAAGGCTTAAGGAAGCTATGTAACATGTACAAGATCATAGAACCAGGAAGTGATAGTCAAGACTTGAACCCAGCCCTCCTAGGATCCAGCCCTCCCAAATCCAGCACTTTTTACTTCATACCACACTGTGATATAATAGCCTCTGCAGGGTTTCTACTATTTCTACTATTCTACTAATTCTACTATTCTTCATTTAGTATAAAGTGAACAGTAAGGTACTATTTAACATTATTTATATGGCAGAATAATAAGCAATAAATCATGTCATTTTTGTAGGAAGTAATTTTCTCTCTACTTTGAAAGTGTATATACTCGTATTGGAAATATATTTTTATTTAAATAAGGTAATCTGCATCACTTAAGTATTGATCATTTACAACAGTGAAGGGGTGAGTGTTGGTATAGAAAATGACTTAGAGTATCCGTGTCTCCTCTTTCTGCCCTAGCACTGCGCTGCCCTCTCCCCCCCAGCTCCCCTCAAGCTGGATCAGAGCTATAGACCAGCATCAGATAACCCTGATTTGGCTGGACAACATCTACAATTCCAGAAACTCAATTTTTGATCTGTGGAAGTTGACTATATGTAAATTGCTGTTTAGGAGTAAAAGATTACCTTTTGGGCATGAAGTAAGATGAAATACCATTGGATAAATACTTGGGGAAAAAAACTGATTTTCCTTAGGGAGGTGACCCAGAAACATTAAGGTGAAAGAATGGGAGCAATTATATATAATGTCATAACTCTTTAGCTAAAAATGAGTATTATAGGTTAGGGTTCAAAGATTAGATTATATATAGGAAGAAAGTCTAAGAAAGATTTAATTTTTCGTTCCTTTGATATTGCATCTTTATTCTGACTGTGAAGAAAAGAAATTTCATAGATTACCTTGTAAGTTCTTTCCTTTCAAACTACTTTTAAACATTCTGATGGCATGGTACATTATACCTTATGAAAAAACACTTTTGAGTTAACTTTGTGTAGATCGTGTTTGGATATGGTAGTATTGAAATTCTCTGACATTTAATATTCTACATGGTCTGTGAAATAAGGATGGTTAAGATAGTATGTAAGAACTTTCACTGTCATTTCTCTCCCTTCGGCTAATAAAATCTGGAGCTATACAAACAGCAGGAATGATATACTAATTTCAACTATTAAGTAAAAGTAATAAGGAATTATGACATAATTATTTTATTTCCTTCTTTATTATTTAACTTTAGATCTCCATTTCTGATGAACCAGACACATTATATAAGCGCCTCTCAGTTTTAGTAAAAGGCCATGATAGGGCTGTATTGGATAGTTATGAATACTTTGCTGTACTTGCTGCTAAAGAACTTGGTATCTCCATTAAAAAGGTGTAAGTATCTTTTCACTGTTGATGCTGTCTTGCAATATCACAAGCACTTTCTAGACCAGGATAAGGGCATTATAGATTCACATGCTTTAATTGGGACAGAAATTCTAGATAACTTAGAACATGGAGTTTAGGATTATCATCTGGAATTGGCAGTGAACTCTATTGTCCACTGAGCGTCAGGTATGGGCTAATTAAGTTTCTGTAACAGGTGATTCTCTGTGGCCTTTTTGCCATTAGGGAGGGGTTAAGTAGAACAGTTTTGTGTCTTTATCTGCTTCCTCTGGTACAAAATTAGGCCTTTGGGGGTGTTTAGCAAGTATTGTCTACCAAAGAATAATAAGAACCTGTGTATCCCCTAATCCATTTTATAGGGGGTAGGGCCTACATCTGTGATTGATTTCATTAGTATAGAGAATTCTCAGATGAGGAAATGTCCTCTATTAATGCAGTTCAACACCTTTTCTGTAACTTATAATCTTAAAGCATTGCTTAGAGCCTTAAGAGGTTCAGTGGACTTGCCCAGGGTCACACTGCCAATATGTGTTAGAGGTGAGACTTAAACTCACATCTTCCTAGTTCTGGGGTGGGCTCTTTCTCCATTTATACAACATTTAAAAGTGAACAGTATGTTTAGACTCTTGTAGTAATTGCTGTCTTTCCTAAAATTTGCAAAATGTTTTAGAACCAAATGCTGTTACCTATCATCTGTCACACTGATTTGACCCTCCTCGTTTCGTGGATCTAGACAATAAGGCTGTGTCACACTAATTTTTTTTTTTTAGGCAATTGGGGTTAAGTGACTTGCCCAGGGTCACACAGCTAGTACTTGTCAAGTGTTTGGTCTGAGGCTGGGTTTGAACTCAGGTCCTCCTGACTTCAGGGCCGATGCTCTATCCACTGCGCCACTTAGCTGCCCCCACACTAATTTTTTTAAAAAGGTTTAATGCTAGCATTTATGAATGTGAATTATGCATGAGATAGATGGCTTGATTTCATGGGAAAATGTTCTGTTGTATGTTGCATTATTTGGATATGCACACTGACATGGCAGTTGTAGTTACAGATGGCAGGCTTGACAAATAGAAGACTGTAAAGTATAGCTAACCCCAATAATTGGATATCAGCTAGACTAAATAGAGCTATGCACCATGTATTGAAGTTAACCTAGGATTTAATATCACTTGTCTTAAGTGCTTTATTTGGCTTATTTCTTTTTAGACATGAACCTCCAAGGAAAATAGAACGTCTTACTCTTCTCAAGTCAGTACATATTTTCAAGAAGCACAGAGTTCAGTATGAAATGAGGACATATTACAGATGTTTAGAGGTCAGTTGATTTCAGACAGGAAATCCAGATAATATTTATTTGAAAGGTCCCACATTTTGTGTGATGGCATATTATGTCATTTTTAATATTGAATAAGCTTGTTTTTTTTCAGCCAGCTCCAGTTCTTTGACTTGAAAATAGGAAAGCTCATCCTAAAGTGTCATGTGTACTTGGTACAAAGGAGTAACATATTGGGTTAATTAATCTCTTAATTCTTATTTAGAAATTTGTTTGTGTTGTCCAAGAAATAACAGTTTTGATGGCCATGTTGCAAATGACACAGTAGCAGTTTAATAGTTCCTATGTTTCCTTCAAAACCTCTAGCTCTTTTACATTAAATATATCAGTATGGTCAATGCTTTTTATAAATCTACCACACACCAGGTGGTGGGAGGAAACGGGTCAAAGGACATATTATTTAATCTTATATTTTGACACTTTCAGTAAATTCAACTTGATCTCATAACCATTAATTAAGCTTGGGAATTTTACTCAATCTTCTTGGGTTTTGTGTCTTCAGCATTTAGCAGCACACCTACTGTGTGCTAAGCATTGTGTGATATGCAAAGATTAAATAAACATCTGTTCATTTTTGAGTTTATAGTCTAGTAGGGAAATACAAAACATTTAGAAATAATTCTATGTGAGAATTTTTTCCTAGTAAGATTTATGTAGTGTGAGACCTGATTTTTTTTAGTCTAGGCTTTGCCATTAACTAGTTGTGTGATCTAAAGTCATTTCACTTCTGTGGGCCTCAGTTTCCTCTTTTTGCCAAATGAGAAAGTTGGCCTAGATTATTTCTAAGGTCCCTTCGACATTCTATAATTCAAAGTCTGTGTGAATTAATTTATTGTGTGGCATAATGCTCTAATAGATTATAGACTGATTTTTGTTTTTCTCTTAGTTACAGCACTTGACTGGAAGTACAGCAGATGTCTATTTGGAATATATCCAACGAAACCTACCCGAAGGCGTTGCCATGGAAGTAACAAAGGTGTGATTCGACTTTCTTCCCTTATCTGAGAGAAAATTGTAAATTGGAGCACTGACACGTTGGAGTCTTATTTGTGGTTTGCCAAGTCCGTAGGAATGGTGGGCCAGGGTGGGGGAAGGAGAAGGAAGAGAGCGGGGAGAGAAGACACCACAGGTCCTAACTAAATCCAACACTGTAAAGAGCAGCAGAAGATAACCCTGCCACTACCACCTGAAGCCTCTTGACACTCCCTTCCCTAAAGAAGTGGTTGATGGGCAGGAGAAATATGGATGAAGGGGGAGAGTGGTACTTTTTTCCATAGTCTTGCTCCATGCTTTCCAAAGCACTGTGGAAAATCAGAAGAGCCAAAAGAAATGGGAAGTGTGTAGAGCCAACTTAAAAGCCACAATTGTGGCTGGAGGTTCAATGTTAAAAGTCATCATACGGTCTATTTACTTGATGGAAATGGCCTTTATTTTCTTTGCAGACCAGATTAGAACAGTTGCCAGAACACATCAAGGAACCACTTTGGGAAATGGTGGACAAGGAAGAAAAAGCAAGCAAAGCATGATGATAATCTTCTTACATCTGGTTTTGAAATGGAAATATCTGTACGTCCATGTCATGAATGATTATACTCAGCAGAGTTTCTTTAAAATCTCTTTTATCTGCTTGTCTCTTGGTTTAACTTTGATGGAATGAACTACAATGTAAAGGGCATCTTTTAAAGTTATTTGTAGCCTTTATTATTTTGGGTCCTGCTTTTAGAACCTGTGAGCAAACTTTTTAAACTGTTACATGATAAAAGAGTTATGTTAAGACTTGCACACACAGATGTTAATTTAATAGCACTGATTGACTGGCATTTGAATGAAATTTGTTCACTTAAAAATCAGTATATTTTAAACTTCTTCTTGTTTGGATTTTTTTTCTTTTTCAACTGTTGAGGGAATAATAAGCACTTTTGATAATTTTAATGTGAAACATTGCCATTTTATGATAGAGGCTGACTATGTAGAATTATACCTTCAGGAGAAGTTGGTCTATTACTGTTACTAATAATTAGTGTCTTATTGAGGTCCAGAGTGGGAAACACCTTGTCTGAGACCACAAAGGCAGTTAGTGGCAGCTCACTGAGGTGTCAGACTCCAGTCTAGTTCTCTTTTTATGCTATAATTTATTATTTTAATCATTATTTTATTTTGGGATCTTGCTAACATATTGGCAAGCTTTTCACCTTTGTATTGTTTGATTCAGACTCAATTCTTCAAAATTAGGAATTGTTTTGAGTTAATAAAATGAGCATATTTGTGATGTTCTTCAGGGGTTAGGGTGGAAGTGTGATAATTAATGTTGACATGGGGTGCAGTAAAGTTGATATGTTACTTTATAGCTCAAATTCCAAACTTTTTCGACATAGGCTACGTAGTAGTGATATGTGGGTTCATAAGAAAGTGGCATTGCATTCATTCACGTGTTCATTAAGCATTTATCAAATGCTTGCTTTGCTAGGTGCTGTGGGAGATGCAAAATAAAGAAGAGTAAGATGAATGGTAGAAGAAAATTGTGGTTTTATATGTTACGTCTGGTTTCTACATTAATTGTATGCAATATTTTTATAAATACCTAGTACAGTGTTTTGTGTATATCAAGATCATTACCCCTTTTCAATGCAAGAAAATGCTTAATACTTTTTATAAGTGGTTCACTTTGGAGATGAGTTCGCTTTTCGATTCATTCAACAAATATTTGTTAGACATTTGTTGTGTTAGATACTGAGTTAGGTGTATGTGTTGGGGGAGTGGTAATTATATAAAGACCCAAGCTCCACTATTCAGGGAGGTTACAGCCTAGTAATTAATAGTTACAACACACATTTTGTTTTGTGAATTGGAATAGCAGTTGTTTCCTCAGCTTGGTATTGAATATCACTGCTTTAGTGACATATTTTGCTTGTATGTTAGACATATATCATTCATACAAATAGACTTACAGTATGTGGAAGAGATAAACACAACATCCTTCTCTTTCATGATCTCTTCTAGCTTCCTCAGTAGTTTCTGTCATCCACAAGTGCCCCAAGCAGAAGTTCAAGTGTGTAAACATAGTTCTAACTGCCAGACGCTAGTTAAACAATTGTTAAAGACAAAAGAGATTCTTAGTTGAAACAAGATGGGATGTACTGAAGAATTGAGCCCACTGTAGCTATTTGTTTGTAACTACAGAGCAAAATAATTTGAATGATTTCTTTGACTTCTGACTGAGATTGCAAACACAAAAATACACACATGTATGTACACATACATGTATACATATGTCGGGGTAGCTAGGAGGTACGGTGAATAGAATGGAATCAGGACCACTTGAGTTCAAATCTAGTCTCAGACGCTAGTGGTATGACCTATGTAAGTCACTTAACCTCTGTTAGCCTCAGTTTCCTCATCTCTAAAATGGAGATAATAGCATCTACTTCCTGGTGTTGTGAGGATCAGATGAAATTAAATTTATAAAGTCCTTAGGACAATGCCGGGCACATAGTAGGGATTTATAAGTGTTGGCTATTATTATGTATTTACATGTGAGTGTTTTTACACGTACACACAGAGCTAGGTTCTGATGAGAGTATTGAATTCCCCTGAAGTAGTTTCATTCTTCAAATTGGTACTGCATATTTCCATTGGGTTGGAACCAATTACCATATTTTATATAATTATAATTTTGAGTAATGCAGATGTGAATATATACAGCCACTTGAGATTCACAAAGCTCAGGACCTAATTCTTTGTGTGCATGTATATGTATACATACAAATGCACAGACACACCCTTCAGGTTTTCTGCCTTTTTAAATATAATGCTGACTACTGTGTCATAATGTTTTTTAGGTCCAGACTTGTGATCTTATGATGTAGAGAACTCCCACTAAAGAAACATCCTCTACTAGCGCAGTCCTATAACTGCACTATAACTTAAAGCCTTAGGAAATTGCCTGAGACACTGAGAAGTTAGGTGATTTACCTAGTATATGTAAGAAGTAGGATTTCAACCCTGATGGTCTTGACTTCAAGGCTAGCTTTCTGCATACCATGTTGCCTGTGGTTTATAGCAGTAGTTTTCAGTGTGTGGTCCAGGGATCTCAGGGGTTTTCCGGTTTTTTTTTACTTGCATGTACAAATTATCGATCTGGGCCTTTATTGATTAAAGTGCTTAGAGACATAAATTTTTCCCTATAAATTTTGGGATACTTTGGCTGCGTACCCCAAATTGTTTATGTTGTTTCATTGTTATGTTATTTTTTAATAAAGTTTACTATTTCAATTGTTTATTGTTTGACCCACACATTCTTTAGGATTAAATTATTTAGTCTCTAATGAATTTTTAATAATTTCTTTAATCACCTTTATTGGATATAATGTTTATTGCATTGTAGTCCATAAAAGTGTGTTTAATATGTCTGCTTTTCTACATTTGTTTGTGATGTTTTTATGCTATAATACATAGTCAGTTTTTTGAGAGAGCCATGCACAGCCGAGAAGGAATATGTATACTTTTTTCTGTTATCTCTAGAGGTCTACCATTGAGCTTTAATAAAATTCTGTTGAGGTCCTTCACTTTTATATTTTTTGTTAGATTTATCTAGATCTGTAGAGGAGTAAATTGTCCCCTACGATTCTATTTTACTATATATTTCTCCCTGTAACTCGTTTTACTTTTCCTTTAAATATTTACATTTTATGCCATTTGGTGCATATATGTTTAGTATTGATATAAATCCATTCTCTATGGTACCTTTGAGCAAAATGTAATTTTTTTCTTTATCTCAAATCTATTTTTTGTTGCTTTTTTTGAGATCATGATTACTACCCCTGCCTTTTTTACTTTAGTTGAAGTATAATAGATATTACTCTGATTTAAGTGTGTTTCTTATAAATAGCATATTGTTAGATTCTGCTTTCTAATCCATTCTGCTGTTCTCTTCCTTTTTGTGAGTGAATTCATCCTATTCACATTCACAGTTATAATTTTTAATTGTGTATATCCCTCCCTCTTATTCTCTTATACTTTTTATTTCCTGCTCCCCCCCCCCCCTTATTTGTTTCTTTGTTTTGTTTTGTTTTTGGCTAGGCAGGGGGAGTAAGTGACTTGCCCAGGGTCACACAGCTAGTAAGTGTCAAGTGTCTGAGGCCAGATTTAAACTCGGGTCTTCAAGACTCCAGGGCTGGTGCTCTATCCACTGTGCTACTCAGTTGCCTCCCCCTCTTTAAAAAAAAAAATTGTGAGAGAGAAAGTGTGAGCTCAGCACCAGTGATTTAATCTGTTTCTGCTCTCCTGTCTCTCTTTTTCTCTCACCCAGAGCCCATAACAGGTTCTTATCCTTTCTTTTAAGCCGCTGTCTCTTTGAAATCCACCCTCTGAAGTTAGAGTTTGTTTTGCTTAACACTGGTTCCTCCCTTAATCTATTTTCCTTAATTACTCCTTTTCCCTTCTCCCCTTTATGCATTTTTTCCACCTATTGACTTAAATGTATTTCTGTAACCAGCTATGTTTGTATGTGTATTCTCCCCTTCTTTGACCAGTTCGGATGACATTTTAAGTGAAATCCACTCCACCCTTCACTCTCTCCTCCTTGTTTGTATAGATTTCTATTTGTGCGCCCCCATTTATATGAGATAATTTCACCCATTTGTTCCTCTTCCTTTTCCTCTTCCTTCCTTTTCCATTCTTTTAAGATCATCAAAACAGAACCATTCTCAGTCCTTCTGTCTAATTAGACTCTTTCATTGAACCCATGATGATGATAAGAATTCTGAGGGACTACATGTATCACCTCCCCATGTAAGAATGTAAACAACTTAATCTTGTTTAGTTCTTTATGAGTGGTCACTCATGTTTACCTTTATGTGCTTCTCTTGATTCCTGTGTTTGTATATCAAATTTCCTACTGAGCTTTGTTCTTGTCGTCAGAAATGTTTGGGAGGCTTCTTTTGTTAAAGGTCTATTTTTTTCCCCCGGTAGCATTATATTCAGTTTTACTGAGTAAGTTCTTTTTTTTTTTTTGAGTAAGTTATTCTTGTTTGTAAACCTGTGTCTTGAATGGACCAGAGTTTTCCAAACTCTCCACACTCTTTCATATTGATGGGAGCTAAATTGTGTGTGATCCTGACTGTGTTTGTCAGTATTTGAATAGTTTCTATCTGCTTGGAGTATTTTTTCTTTGACTTGAAATCTTAGGATTTTGGTTGTGATAACCTTGGGAGTTTTCATTTGGGGGTTTCTTTCTGTGGTAACTGGTGGATTCTTTCTCTTTTTACTTAATGTTTTCAGTGATATTGTCAGATGCCTTCAACAAGGACAAAAATGGCATCAAGGTCAACTACCACACTGATGATAAATTATTTAACTTGAAAAGGCTATTGGGGCTGGGGGCAATGGCTAAGCTTCCATCATTCCCTCCTCAAAGAGATGGGGCCCAAATTCATTTGGGAGAGGGACGAAGATCTTGGCTTCGGTAGCTTCTTCCAGCTGACAAGGGATTTAGAGCTGTCCCTGCCTCACTGGATCCTGGGGAGGAGGTTGACTGGAACCGAGCATAGGCCACATCCAGGGGATGATAGGTGGGCATGGGCTGGTATCCACTGTTTGATACCAACTGTAGGTGAATGGGATGTGGTCTGGAAGACACAAATCTGACACGCAAATTCAATATGCAGGCTGTCCCCAAAAAGGAGCAACAAAATAATTAAGTGATATCAGAGTGGGAGAAAACAAAGAAAGAAACCAAGAGTCCCATTAGAATCATTTACATTTAACATAGAGGATTATCTGATTTTGTTCCTTTTTTTTTTTTAACGTTTCAACTCTTGATTCCAGTTCCTTTAGGAGGATCAGATGCTATTGAGGATCCAACTCTATGCATGAAAATATAAGTAACAGCATTCTTGCAGGTAGAAGCTTTCCACCCCTGGGTTCAGTAGTTATACAAATGAATTTACTTACAAGAAGCTGACTTTACTCGAGTTATATAATAAAAGACTTGGGAGGATACTTAAATAATTAATTCCAAAACAGTGCATATCAATAAGTTGTTTATAATAAAACATGTTTGGAATGAAATTGACTTTTATTCCATAAATTACCTCCCTTTAAGAAAATTGATTGCACTGACATTCTCTTTCCCAAACCAAACTGAAGATGTTTCTGATTTAGTTTCAGTAATTAATAGAATAACAGCTAGGTTCCTTCATCAGTTGTACCAATACGCAATTATTCTTACATCATTTTGAAACATTTAAAGATCTTATTTATCTTTGAACTGTGCTGAAATCCTATTTTATAAAGAAAAAAGAGGTTCCTGACTTTAACCTCACAACTTAATAGATTCACAATCTTTGTTTCACCAGCTTATTTACCCTTCTCTAATTATACTCATCGTTCTGAAAGAATGAGGTATTTCAGAAACTGAATCTTACACATATGATAAATTTAAACACTAATTTAACTCTTGCTTAGGCCATGACTTAGGCCAGACTACAAATTCAGATCAAAACCACA